TGCACGACTTAGTGGACAGTGCCATTAAAAACACCTCGAAAGGAAACCTTTCGGCGGCGATTTCTGAACTTGAATCTGTGAAGACACTTATTACAAAACGAAACAAGCTTATTCGCTTCGCGGATAAGAGTCCCGCGGGCTGGGAAGCCGTTGAGGAGTACGAATCGGATGAGTTAGCGGAGGATTCTGAAGATGAAAAGAAGCTTCGTTCCGCAGAGAGACGGGCATTGGCTAAGATCCGCGAGAAAAAGCGTAGGATATCGTCTGCCCGACCTAGCTATACAAGTACCCGTCAGCCATCGAATGAGGTTTCTTCTCCTGGGTCTTCCAATACTTTTCCTGTTAATCAGCAACTTTTTCGTGGGCAGTCCTTTCGCGAGTGTCGACCTCAACCTTCGGACAAGTACTCAGTTGCGGGCAGAGAGGTCATTGGGCAAATTCAACTTCCTGCCCCAGCCGCCTTAGAGGAGCTGTTGCAGTCCCTTCAAGAAGCAAGGCCGCAAACTGACAACAAACACAAAGTTACATTACAGAGATTAGGCAAAGATGAGTATAATTTACTGAATTTGGTTACATGCTTAAATGACTTTGATCCAGTGGAACTTGTGAAGAACTCTGTTGATGCGCCTGATTTATCTGGTGATGTAATAAGACCCGAATATCAGGAGGGAGTTCCTATCGTTAAAGTTAAAGGTAGTCTTAAGCGCAATGTAGCTTTTTGGGAGCATATAGGCGCTTCTCGTTTCATTCGCGATACTATTGTATTTGGGTATAAGATCCCCTTTATTTACAATCCACCCGCAGCGAGCTTTGGCAATAATCGATCTGCCATTCAGCATAGTGAATTTGTGGAACAAGCTATTTCTGATCTCCTTGTAGCAGCCTCAGTGGTTGAATGTGGGTGTGTCCCTACTGTGGTAAACCCCCTATCTGTTTCCATTCAGGCCAATGGTAAGTAAAGGCTCATATTAGACTTACGATATCCAAATCAATTTGTAAGGAAATCCAAGATTAAATTCGAGGACGCGAAAACCACGCTTTATTCCTTTATCGATTGTTCGCAGAATTGGCTCTTTTCCTTTGTTATCAAATCTGGTTATCATTACATTTACATCTTTCCCCAAGATCAAGAGTTTTTAGGCTTCACCCCCTGGTCTAAGGATGGGATTACTCGATTTTATAAATTTACTGTTTTGCCGTTCGGCATTTCCACCGGGCCCTATATTTTTACAAAAGTTCTGAGGCCCTTTATACGTTATTGGCGTCTCCAGGCTGTAAGAATTGTTGTTTATTTGGATGATGGCTTAGGCGTATGTCCTACATTTCCTGACCGTTATCCCCAGTCTATGGCTGTGAAATCAGACTTGTTCCGAGCGGGCTTTGTAGCTAATTGTGGTAAAAGCATATGGGTCCCAGTTCAGTCTCTCACATGGTTGGGCTATCAATGGGATTTAAAGCATAATTTGTTATCTATTCCTGTGGAAAAATCGACAGGCTACTACCGAGTATTGACATTGTCCTCCTTCAAAGTAGATTACCAGCCAGGCAACTGGCCTCTGTAACCGGAAGTATTATTTCTAATATGCTTGTTTTTGGCAACGTGTGTAAGCTGATGACCAAAAGCCTACACAGGGCTCTCGATCGCAGGAAAGGGTAGGATTCCTATGTTGAATTAGACCCATGCGCTCGCAAAGAGTCAGAGTTTTGGAAGAATAACGTTTCTAACTTGAATTCTAGGTCGTTTCTCAATACTGTTCGTAAGGCATCTCGCATTGTTTATTCAGATGCTAGTGCTACCGGCTATGCTGCCTTTATCGCAATTGATTATACGCTTGTCTCGCATATTAACTGGGATTCATTACAGATGAACCAGAGATCTACCTGGAGAGAACTTCACTGTGTCAGTTTTGCTCTAAAAAGTTTTGCTCACCTTCTCTCAGGCTGCGATGTTAAGTGGTTTACTGACAACCAAGCAGTTCCTTCGATTGTTCATTCTGGTAGTATGAAGGAGCACTTGCATATCTTGGCACTCGACATATTTCACACCGCCAAAGATAATAAGATTGACATTGAAGTTGAGTGGATACCCCGTACTCAGAATGGGAGGGCAGATTATTTGAGTAAGATTCTTGATTATGAGGACTGGACAGTCAAAGATTGCTATTTTCATGCTGTCACCTCTGTTTGGGGCCCCTGCTCAGTAGACTGTTTTGCTAGCTACAAAAATTGCAAGGTTCCCAGGTTCTATTCCAAGTACTTTAATCCAGATTCCTTGGTTGTCTCTTCACTCGCCTTTAGTTGGGTAGGCGAAACATGTTGGCTTGTGCCACCTGTTTCGCTAGTTAAGAAGGTCATCCTTCATGTTTGTTTGTGTAGTTGTCGGAGTTTTTTGGTAGTTTCTTTTTGGCAGTCAGCCCATTACTGGCCCCTTTTGGTGGAACGTAGGGGTGTTTTCAAGTAATTTGTTGCAGACTGTCTCTACGTCGAGAATGGTAAGGATGTTTTCCTCCATAGGGGGAAAAAGAGTTCTCATTTTGGATCAGAGAATTTTAGTGCCCCAGCGCTTTTTCTGTTGCTCGACGGCGCTGTACGGAAGTCGGTATAGGTCGCTGTGGAGTTGTAGGCCGCTTGGCCGCTAGGCCGTTTGGCCGCTAGGCCGTTTGGCCGCTAGGCCGTTTGGCCGCTAGGCCGTTTGGCCGCTAGCCCGTTTGGCCGCTAGGCCGTTTGACAGCTAGGCCGCTTGGCCGCTAGGCTACTGGGTCGCTGGGTCGCTGGACCACTGGGCCTTTAGGCTAGTTTACGACGAACGCACCAGTTTTTTTGCCAGTACATGAAGATTGTCCGTTTTTACGCCACTGGCTGTTTGTATGTAAACCGTTTTAGTCTGGTTGACTTTTTTCATTATTGAGGCTTCTTATTTTCACTGAACTTGCTCAGTCGTTTGCTCATAATTATTTTCTTTTCTTGTTATGTTTGGGTTTCTACAAGTTGGACGTACGTTTGCTTAGAAGATCGCTCATCTAAAGGATTCAGAGCTTCGTAAGTTAGTAGCCGATCTTCCCTTGCGTACAATCGAGTCGAAGGCTCCTTCGACGACGGACCGTTACTCAAGAGCTTTACAAAAATTCAGAGAATGGTCTTCACCTCACAACGAGGTCGTTTGCCAGCCATCGGACGAGATATCAATTGCTCTTTATTTAGAGTCCCTGATTCAGGGTGTTTCCCCTTATTCTTCCCTTCCGTATTAATTGGGCGCATAATTTGTATGGTTTTCAAAGTCCCTGCGATTCCAAATTGGTTAAGAACATGATCAAGGCAGCTAAAAGAAGTATTGCGAAACCTTCTTCCAAAAAAGAATCCGTTCTCCCCGCTATGATTCTAGATATTTGTAATAGATTTGCCGGTCCTGATGCTAATCTTTCTGATCTTCGTTTTGCAACCATTTGCGTAATCGCGTATAACGCTTTTCTCCGCTATAATGAGTTAGCTAGCCTACGTTGTTGCGATGTTAGTTTTTGCGATTCTATTGTCAAGATTTATGTTTACAAAAGTAAAACCGATGTTTATAGGGAAGGTGCCTACGTCTTGTTGGAAAAAACAGGGCACGTTTCTTGCCCTTTCAATCTGCTTCGCAGATACGTTTCCGTGCTGCTAATTTAGATTTCTCGTCTTCGTTACCCTTTTTGCGCTCTTTGTATTTTCATAAGGCTACCTCTACTTATAGTTTGCGTAGTACGGGTGTGAGTTACTCTAGAACGAGAGAAATAGTTTTACAAGTGTTTTTTAATTAGGTTATCCGAAGAATTTATTTGGTTTACATAGTTTAAGGCCGGGAGGTGCTTCCGCGGCCGCTAACGCCGCTAACGTCGGCGATCGGTTTTTAAGCGTCATGGAAGGTGGAAATCGGATCAAGCTTATGACGGTTATATTCAGGACAAACTAGATTCTCTGCTCTCAGTGTCTAAAAGTTTACATCTTTAGTTTGCCATTTCTCTTTCTTTATTTTCGAACGCGGGCATCAATAAACGAGATGCCCGCTCCTATTCTGTGTTTTGTGATTATTTAGATTAGTTACAAATTATTTTATAATCGTTTCAGTGTGATAATTATATAAATGGAAGTTTATATAACATTCGCTTTCTGTGTCACATTTCACTAAAGTTAGTTCTAGTCCCTTTCTTCTTATTGCATTTCATACATTACAATAAAGGAATACCTGAAATATTATTTTTCTCTGGTTCTTCACTTCAGTTTAGATCGAACTCTTATTTTTAACAATTAAATTCCTAAAACAGAGAGCCAGTCTTAATACCACAGTACCTGATCATCAGCTGAAACCTTTCACTCACAATATTTAATTTTCAATTCTCCTCTTTAACTTCCACACATATCCTTGTAAATAAGTTACGAGAATTTGGTGTTAGATCAAGATAACAATTTCCACTTGATAAGTTCCACTTGATAGAGTATTTTCAGTACGCATTTGTTGGAAATGTTTAGATAGCATTGGAAGAAGTTCCATATTAATCACTACTGGGATTTAAAGAGTTAGACATGAACCATCTTATTATAGGGAGACCGCTGTCCATTCTCCTCAAGTCATAATGGCGAAAAGTTGTCTTTTTTGCCTCGTTTCACTGAAGTTGAATCTTATCTTTTCCATTATCGACTTCTTTCAAATGACAAAGAAGTGAATACCAGAAATGTCAGTATTACTGCTCGCTCGCTATAAATTAGATGAAAAGCATTTTGAACAGCCATAAATTTGTCAGAAATCCAATCCCTTTCCATACTTGATGCTATCAAAAATTAAAGTAAGATAGAAAAAACTGATATCGGCTACAAATTAAAGACAACAGCAGAAACCACAATTAACAACAACACACCCGAGCAACAGCATTCATTGCGAGATTTGTTTGGGAGTCAAAGGGAAATTAACATTTTTTTTTCAAATATCCGGAAACACATTTCAAATAAAACCAACTTAATGACAGCTTGGATTGTAACAACTTTAATTTGATTCAATTCTCAACTTGACAAATTAAACATCGATCAGATTATTCTTAAACCTAACCATAGTTTTGATCGTAACAGTACTAATTTCATTGATTCAATAACTGATATGTTGTATATTAATCAGATTTTTAAAGATAATTATTAGGTAATTTCCGTGGGTATATGTTAATTCTAAGAATTTTTAATTAACATTAAGGAAAAATGATCAGCTTCGGTCTTTTTTACCTTACATATTTATAAACAGTATCTCAAGAGTTCTCGCTTATGCAAAGAGTATTCATCAGCCAACCGTAGGGTTTAGTACTAGTTTACTGATCCGAACGTCTTTCAGCTGATGTTTGAATTTTAGCCGAGTTATTCAAGGGGGCACTCTGGTCGAAATTCAACAAAAGAATAAGTCAAAACTATTAAGAGTAAATTGCTGAAATTTGGCATGACGCAATTGCAAGCCGAGATGACTCTATGCGGCCGCCGATGCGTAAAGGTTGACCACATTTGTTCATCCCTTCCCATACTTCAAACGATTTAGCTGTTCCTAGCTGTACGCTTTAATGATATCATGACCATATTGCGTACTGCAGTTAACTGAATCAATTTATTTTTACATTATTGCAGTAAGTTCACCTATTAAACTTTATTAAATAGCTTCAATAGAAAATTTCGTTCTTCATTGAAAAATTACGAATGCTCAATGCAATTCCCATGGTGTACTCTTGTTGAGGATCAACAGCTTATTATTTCCATGATTAATAAAACTTCTTAAAACCTACGAACATCATCTAGGTTCAAAGATCAAAAGTTTCTATACCAGAAAAAGTGTTTCGATTAATTTGTTCTGTAGACTTGCAAAGGAGTGGTGGTAAATGAAGTGACTCGGGCTTTTTTCGTGCAATCTTGCACTTAAATCAATAAAAACAATCTGCTGCATACACTTAGGACTCCGACTAAAACGCTTATGCTGAGTCCATTTTATAGCGATCTGCTGGATTTAACGACAACTCATGGCTTACGTTATCCACCCACGTAGAGACCGTGTTCAACATATTCGCTTATAACTACATACCCTTTACGCACGTTTGGACTGCAAGGTATTTACATATGTACAGCTCATCCTAAATCACACAGACTATCCAGTTATTTCTGTTCAGCTACATTATGGCGAAGACGATGTTTAAGGAGCAACCTTGTCTTGTTTTCAAATAAGCTCAAGTAATCCAAACTGTTCCAAAGGCAATGGAAAACTGTTTTTAATCGGATAGACTCAAACACAACAGTTTAAATTCAACCTTTCAGGCCTGTTTTCTCTTTGGAAAGCAACGCATCTAAACCGGTAGACGTTTTGTTGTGTCATTCGAAGATGCAGCTATGAACCAGGGAAATCATCAATAAACCAGCTTTTAAGACAAACGGTACACTTGGAGCACGTCGTCTCCGCTGTTACAAGTGTCTTGTGAGGAGTTTTGATTCTGGTTCTGAGGTGGTGGACTGTTTGGATACGAGTTTCCCTCTTTGATGCTCATCCATGACAAGGACATATTTGTGTGCCCTCTTTCCCGTTTCTCTGAGGGACTACGCGGCAATGTGTAAGCCGTTATCCGACCAAACGACATCATTTTCCACATGGTGCCACCAGTTGTAAAACTGTTCTCTTCCTCATTTTGTGAAGAAGCCGACAAAAAGCGTGCCAGCCTGACACGATAACTTGGACAGCAAGTCATTGTGATGAAGAGTTCTTTGCGAAACTTGCTGTTGAACAAAATGTAAAGACATGGATTTATTGCGCTGTTTGCGTGTGCTAGCCACAAGAAGGATAGCTGTACTTCACTCGGTATCGAATTGATAAGGTCAGGTCGCACGTACCAAATGTAATGATCAACGTAATTTGGAAACCAGCAGATTGCAAATACCAAGACGATTATGACTAATAACCGCACAACTTTGCGTTTGGATTTTTCAGCTGCAGCGCGATTGGTAGTTGTCACATTTCCCGGGATCTTTCGAAGCCATAACTTACGACAAATTAAGAAGTAGATAACGATGGTTATGGAAAGGGGCCATGCGTAGAGTACAACGAAAATCGTTATGTGGAAGATCTTAAGTACGCGATAGGTTTCAGCATATGTAGGATCACTTTCATCTTGCCAGGGCCACAATTGTAAACATAGATGCGTGTCCGAGTTAGGACGATACTGGACTCGGTACATCATAGGATATGGGATCATCAGCACTAAAGATAGAATCCAAATTGTGGCGGACAGTATTTTTGGCTTGCGGAAGATCTTCTCTCTCAACGGATAGAATATGGCGTAGAATCGATCGAAGGAAATGAACATCATCGTGAACACAGTTGCCGCGATTGAAACTGGAATAATGTAGAACACTACCTTGCATGTCACGTTTCCCAATATTCCTGGAATCCACCTGACATCCGCGAAAATAAAAGCAACCTGAAACGGCATGATTGTAACCGTCAACAACAGATCTGCAACGGCCATGTTAGCGATAAACAAGTTCGTGACGCTGAGGGAAGAAAACTTCCTTACTACAACGTACAACCCAAATGAATTTCCAAGAAAAGCGATGATGAAAATAACTGCATATGCAATTATTATAGTAGTTTTGAATTCCAAAGAGGGACTAGATGGATCACCGGGGGGGTCTGCAAAAGAAAACACAAATTACATTAAGATATATAGTCAACTACATCAAATTTCTTCAACGAGGAGAGTGTGGATGGGCGCAAGATTAGAATAGCACAGTATTCTACTCTACTCTAGGAAACCTTACCCTCGGGATCATTCATCCTATTTATTGTCGGTTTGAATTGATCATGGCGACAATTGTAAAGTGAGTCCTTCTCTATCATCAGGCAAAACACATGGCAACCATTTCGCTACTGACGTTCTCAAACGAAACACTTTCCGTGGGTCTTTTATCTCGATCCCGGCAGAGAGATTAACACGCAGATTAGAAAAAAATGATCTTGAGTGCCGATAGTCGTAAAAAAAAGGAATGATGTTGACCTTCCGTTAGCCATGAAATGATCAAAACATTAACCACCAGCCATCCCCCCCCATTGAAACCCTCTCGACCAAGGCTGCAGCTTAGTGATTTTGTGACCGTGAGGGCGGCTGTTGTAGCAGCTGACAAGTTTGGTGGCTAGGAGATTGACGGAATGCACGTTACACGATCACGTTGCACTACACCATCCTTACCGTTTGGCGTTGATACATTGGAACTGTTGTTCATTTTAAAGGAGATGTTTCGCGGCTTCCAAACTAGTAAAAAATAAAGAAGAACCAAAGGTCGTAAGGGAAACTGTGAAAGACAGAAAAGAGGCAAAAGCTCTTGCTCAAAATTAATTTTAGCTTTGATGCCGCGTTGTTTAAAGAACGTTTGTATCTTTTTTTGTGGATACCATAATGTCAGAAACAGGGTATGTAAACACTTTCTGTCAAACTTATATGGAATTTGCGCTGGGGACACTACGATTTTGAACATTTCTGTTACAGTATCAGCTCAATATAATCCCCGTTATCATTATTATTACATTTATTATTACTAATATTGTTCTTTTGATAATATCTATCAAATATCAAGACGGCATTGCAGGCAGAGCGACGCGAATAACAACAAGGAGAAGAGAAAGGTATTTTTTAACCTTCCACACCATAAGATCAGTACTGATATTCTCCATACTGTTCTCTATACATTTCCTTTGGTACTGACGAGGAGAATTCATTTAACCATCAAAGTTTCATAAGTTAACGATTTATTCTGACGATCCTGGTGAATGATTCAGCCGTATTATTGAAAGGAGAAATTAGATGCTGATCACTTAGGGTTTAAAAGATTAGATTTTGTTCTCTTCGTTTCATGCCTTAACTATTACGGCGTTGCATGCTATCTGAACGTCAAGAAACAATTCACGTGAGAAGCAATTATCAATCGTACAGAATGAAATTTTGCTCTTGACATTGAGAGATAAGTTGTACATAACAGCATAAAACAGGTCACCCTTAATGGAAGTTTATTTGCAGAACGGCTCTTGTAACGTCCACACCAAATCCACCTCTGCCAATCAACGTGATTAACAAATAATTTATGTAAGCATATAAAGGAAATATCTTAAATATATGGTCTCGTTAAAGCGAAATGACCAGTGATTCAGACATTAAAGAAATGTGATAAAATAAAAGTTTTATCTATGAAATTATTACAATGCTAAATTAAACGAAGTGCAAGTTTGACAGAAGTAAGTGACAAGGGCCGCGGAACACACATTAGCTATCATTAGTGCAAATAGTAAAAAGGAAAAAAAAGTCACGAGCGATTGACAACTCTTATTGTTGTATTATTTGCAATTGTTATGAAAGGGGCCAAGGAAAAATATTTTGCTTGACCCCTAATAAGCCGAAGGGGCCAGGGAGAGAGAATCCGATCAAACATGCAGTAATCAGAGGTTGGCAAGTGATGGTGCTTTGTATTGAATTCAAAGTATTCTATCCTGACTGTTTGAATATCAGCTTTGCGAGACGTTAATCGGAAGCATATGAAGATTATTTATTCAGTTGACAGTGGACCTATTTTGCATGCTTTCTTTTCTTATGGTCACAAGCAAAGAAAAAGAAAACAAAAAAAAACAAAACAAAACAAAAACCAAAAGCATGTGGCTGAAGAGCAATAGTCGAAAGCCGGAAGACAGAATGCCAGACAAGGCAAAAAAAAAAAAAAAACAAACAAAAAAAAAACACCAAAACGAATCAAAAAAATCAAGAACCTCTTTAACAAGTTTTATCCTGACCTGATTTGTTTGTTCTTGTATCAATTTGTTGTACAGGATGTATTTGATTTACTATCTAAACAGATTAATCTTCACAGATTCTCTAACAAGTTTGCTGCAGCATGAATCGAGTTTTCTTTTTTTTTTAAATGAAGATAAAAATAGCACGCAGCCTCCTCTCTAGAGATAATTTCTCCCCTCTGGGTATCCTTCCCTTCGATCGTTTCTTGGGCGAAAAAGATTGGAAAAGGGAATAGTACCATGCAGAGCGATAGATGCTGTGGCGTTCAAAACCCTTTACTGTAACAGAATTGATTTATATTTAGAGATAACACCTGACTGTTAAGTCGAATTGAGAACTAAGTACTTCAACATTGTAAGTTGCGGGACGGATGTAGTAGTGGAATGGACAACCGAAAGAGATTTCGGTACATGACATCTCCAATATTAACGAATAATACAGCCATTGCCGAACGTGGGTAAACTGGAGGCTTTGTGAGATGTGAGATGATAGAACTGAATTCTTAAATAGGTCACTAGTGAAGTCTAAAATACGACATCGCGAAGAGTGTCGATATAACTCCATCCGATCAAACTTAGGGTCAGTGCAGATTAACCTGGTTTTGCAGCTTTGCTGGCATGCAGGTTTTTTGTTTATATTTTACACTTTGAAATTTGCATTTCCGTTGAAACCCCCACAGAAAAATCTTGACGAAACTTTCGCCTGGCAAACGCCTTTGTACAAAAATAAAATCACAATCAATATTTTATAATCCTGGATAGCAGTCATCGTGTACCCAATGATTTGTACCGTTCGGTCTGAATATAAATCTGCGAGAATTGCACTTTCTTAAGTGCCACGAATGACCACCCAGCTTCAACTTACATCGCCACGGGCTTGAATTTGATTCCACAACTAACCTGATGTAGTCTTTTTCTAGCTTTTCTCTGAGGGGTGATCAGCTAGCCGAGATTCTTCAATATCACGATCTCAGTTTTCGCGAGTCAAAAGCTTCGATGCCCGTAGATTTCCGTGACCTGTTTCACTCTGAGGACTGACAAATCTACAAACAAGAAACCAAACAATGCGTGATGTCGTTACACAAGCAGGAAATTAACCTTAGCAAGTATGTGACCACGTATTCAGATTACAAATTTGTTACAAGTAGGGGAAGTAGCTCTTAGGCACCTTGAAATGCATTCATCCATTGCCTTTGCAAGGCAACCGTCCCAACAGTGGTCTTTCCAGTTTGACACAACAATCCTTGATATTCCCATGCACTTCGCTTAAAACGTTTTATTGCCTTTAACGTGTTCAACATGAAAAAAATTAGAGATAGAAAGTAAACATATAAGCCGCAACTGTCACCAGATTGCAATATCGTCGCGTCCGGTGTTTAATCTATAAACGAGATGGTTTTAAAACTAAACGGAACCGAGATGTAATTATGTTTTAGCTGGCAAAGAAAAATGATCAGTTGTTTTCCTCGAAACATTGTGACTCAGTGGTTACAAGTAAGAAAAGCATGAAAACTGAACACATACATTTTGAGCTGCAGTGAAATTAAAAAACTGTTTAATCAACGAATTGGCAAATAGCGACTAATTTCAAGCCTAGTTTACGATGCAGAATATAAAGTCGAAATTGATAAATTTCAATTGATCTATCTGTCTTGTACAAATAGCAGTATTTTCCTTATTGTTTCATCTTTTTTACATTTGGTAAACACTTTCTTTGCAGTATTTTGTTTGTTTAAAAATCACGTTCTGGGTTTGATTTTCAAAATTTAAAAACACTACTTTCTAAAAATGATTCAGTCTTCCTTTCATTAGTAATATCGCCCGCCCTAAGAAAAGTATCAGCTCGCAGAAAGCGCAAGAACTGACGAATTTTAAGCATCGCTAAAATCAGTGATTTTATCCAGCAAAACCCTTTTGGTCTAAGTTGTAATTGGTACTGGATTGCAATTTATTCATAAACACTACGCTCGAGATTACAGCATTACGTTCCTCTAAAACCCTAAAAAAAAAAAAAAAAGGGGCTAATATCACAATGTCACTGATATTAAATGCTACAGAGGTTTATTTTTCTACGTTTAATGATATGATTCCGACAATTGGGTTTCCGTAATAAAGCCACGGTAGCGTTGGAGATGCCCACTATGACATCTCAAACGTTTGGTGATTTCGGGTACATCATTAGAATTTCTCAGCCTCTTTTAACGTTAAAACTCAAATAGGCTTTCTTTCGGAGAATATCTTTAAATTTTCAGAATCAAGGAGCTGCAGGTGCTTGGTACCACTTAGCATATTTTTTGCGTTCGCAAAGCATGAAACGGCAAGGAGGGCCATGTCACATGCATCAATTTTGCCCTTAAAAATAGTCAGTTTTAATTTTGTAAAAGGTCATTTCGTGGATGGTGTATGGTGCCGCTGTTAGGAGCTTCGGCGGAACGGTGAGGTTGGGGGCACTATAACTTAACATGATAACGACGAGGCATTTTTAACGGCGGTCGGTAACTTACTATTAATAAGAATAGAATTTTGTGCAACTTCAAAGAAAACAATGAAGATTTTATCATGTAAATGAGCCTTAGTCCGCAGGAAACTGTTCTTTGTTACTTAATGCGAATGTTTGTAGGGGGCAGAGAAAAATATACATAAATATGTCAATAATAGATTATTATTTGTCGTTATATTTTTGCATTCATCGATAAACTTCCACTTCTAAGTAGTCCAGCGGGCAAAAGCCGAAAACTGCTTGTGGCGAATCAGATCTAGATCTAGTCTTTTTAACGAGCACAAGCCAATGCTCGTTTTCAAGCGCGCCATTGTTTTGAAAACAAATGTTTTCCACCTCTTGTTAAGTTTATTATTACTTTTGACAAGAGCTTTTAGTAGTATTTGCTAGCTAGTATAGTGATTCATGATAAAGCAATGTTGTGAACCGCACAGTAAACGAGGGTTCATATAAGTCTGTTTTTCTTGATGGGGATCTGGAAACTAAGGAAACCTTTTGTGAATGTTGTTACTTCGTTCTTTTGAATCGTATTCATGAAGTTACAATTAGAACTTGTGAAAGGTGATAAAACAAAAAATCATTGTACCCCTTTTTAAGAGAAAGTAAATTTGACAGATTGTCATCCTAACGTCATATGCTAACAGTAAAGTATTTCTTACATGTGGCAGAGACTCTTAATATGTAAAAATTTCTATAGAAGATAGGGTTACGATGTTTGTCGGAACTTTCAAATAACTAACACAGTTTTCACACGCTTCAAGAATTAAAACAGAGTTTACTTACACCTTGCAGAAACGTACCAATGAATGATATGGATCATATTTTCATATCAAAGGAATTAAGTAATCTATGGCTCGAACTCGTAAATTTCTACGGGAAGACAATTCCACGAGTAAACCATCCTCCTAACTTATTCAACAAAAGGCTGCATACTATTCAGTTTTTATAACCTTACCTTCTCGAATGAAGGTAAAAGTTTGATGGGTTGTAAGAAAAATGGCCCTTGAATGGAACTGATGGTTTTGAGCAGGGTAAAGCTCTTGTATTATTGAGCTTTGACCCATATGAAAGGCAGATTAGCGACACAAAGGTCTTGATGAAAGAGTAATCATTACCACCGACATACGGATTAACAATTCACTTTTTAAAGCCCATCTCTTCATTGCGTACTTTACCAAAGCACGCCGCGGTTAACCGGCCTTACCTTATGGTCCTTACGCTCCTCTAGTGTCCAAATCACGGCAGCACGGGTTCTTTTAACCACTCGGTTCAGGCGACCGCTCCAAGCTGTTTTAGTACTCAGCGATCGCACGATTAAGCACGGCAACTAGTCCAAATAGAAATCTGTAAATTAACAATAACCTTTTTAGCGCAAAGAAAGGTCACTGGCTGCGCTGTACGTTCATCTCAGTGTGATCCATTAGGACTAAAGCAATTCTTTCAAGCGTGAACCAGGTTCATATGTAATGGTGCCCAAAAACCAAAACCTGATGCACACTACACTTATATTGGATATATATGCCTAATGATTTTAAGAAATCTATTATTGCATGCGTCAGTTACTTACTTAGGGAATCTCTAGAGGAAAGTGTGCACCAATGAACGAAGACTTGATTTTGTATCATCCGCAAAGCGGTTAGACCTCAATGACACACATAGAATTGAACCTGCTTTTGTGTAAATAGATTGCAGAATGAGAAAATTTGCGTAAACAAAACAATTATATCATTCACGTAATGTCTTAACTCTCCAAACTTAGCTATTTTCAGGCAACTGAGTTGGGTTTAAACTTTTTTTGGGCAGTAAAACCCATTTCCTCATTGTTTTGCCTGTTAGTGAACATAAAAGCTGACGGCATAAATCTGAATGATATTTTAAAGATATGGTTGCATGGAAGTCAACACGGGAACCCACAAGGCAGTCTTGCTTTTTTTGCTTTTTGTTTCTTTTCTTTTCATGATATTGTCTGTGAAAACGAATGGCCAAGACGCTAATGCTAAACAAGCACTTTTAAGAAATCTGCAAAAGCCAACGAAATTTTTATCAAAATAACCGCATTTACTCGACAATTGTTTGTTTGCTTGTTTTTGTTTTATTGACCCAACAATACGATTTTTTTTATTATTATTTTCGACATTTATGTGCTTAAAACTGAATTAAAAACAAAGATAGGTTTTATTGCACGCAAGATGTGACTAGTCAAAGATAGGATTCGATGATATTTTGAAATCTTAGTTTACGTGGAAAACTAAATCGGGATTATTGTCCAGGTCGAATTCGTGTTAAAAACGAAGCTTTCCTGACGTGGTTCGTACCCAAAGTTTAGCTTGTCGACACCTCTCAGTATATGGCATGTCATTGTAGATCGCTTTTATAATTTTTTTCCAAATAATGGGTTCGCTTAGATATAAGACTTCATTTGACACTGAAAAAAGATGTATAGTAATTACAGCCTCTTTATGTGAAATTTGACTAGCTAAGCCCACAAAGGAAAAAGCACTACGAAACTGCATTTTCATGTACTTGATCATTTCTTCGTAGTCTCGCACATACACCGCGATGAATTACATTTAAGGTAAAAGTATAACTTTTGCCAAAACTCTAGCTTTCGGCTGAATATTTAGTGACCGCCTACTCAAGTCACATCAGAGTAATTCATGTTTAAAATACGTTGGTGATTATTATCAAATTTATGCCAAGTCAAGAAATTCCCAGGATGACCGATAAAATATTACTGAGTTATTTTAGACAAAAAAAAAAATCATTGACGACAACAAGGATTTTTTTGGTACAACTTGTGACAAAGTTGTTTAACCGAATGACTTAATTCGTTAATGGGCTATGGTCGAAGTCATGGTGTGTAAATTCATCGCCCGCAAGATACGATATGTATAATTCACTGAACGATTACCATTAGTCAACCTCTCAGGCCAGCTCGTTTTTGCGATTTTTGATTATTTCTGGTTAACCCCTGACTTAATTCGGTACTTGACTATGGAAAGGGTTTCAATACTTTTTATCCTTTTTTCTTGCTGATGGTGTAGTAGTAGGTGGTTGTTCAGTAAGGGGTAAGCCTGCTTGAAGGCTAAACAGATGGCCACGAGAGGCGGTAAACCATCTCAGTGTTACCGGCTTTTATTGAAATCTCTGGACGATGGGTAATGTCCGCATACTGTGGATATTCACCATCCTCAAGATATAACATTTTTTCCACATTTATAATTTAGAGACTGAGCTCCGTTGGAGAAAACCACTTTGGTCGAGATGCCCCGTTATGTTTGCAGTTGGGTAAATTTATTTTATCCATTACCATTACATTTTTTTGACGATCGATTTGACGTCGAATTTTTTGGCGCTCGTGAGGCTACCTCTTTGAATAACGTGCTTTATTTTCGATGCATAGAAGGTTCTACTTTTTCAAATCAAATGAAACATTCGGAGTGTATGTATTTTTTCTTTGAGTGTTTAGCGCCTCTGGCGAAGGGAGTTTACGTGTATCAGTGAAATTTACGGGAACTAATTTTCTCGCTTCTTCTTCCTCTAATCCTCAGAATCAAAACTGTAGAAAACTTAAAAAATAAAATATTTTTCCAAGCTAATTCAAATACTTCCAATTTAGTGTACAAACGACCGAAAGGAGACGACAAGAAGTTAAACTTTTGCCCATTACCGTTATGTAATGCACGACATCTTTCTGATCGTTTTACCGACGTTCTACTGTTCATACCAGTTAAAACTTTTCAATGCTGCGAGCTTGAGACCTTTTATAAAGGCTCAAGTAGATGAAGAATATACATGTTAATGTGTGGCAAGAAAAATAAGTGATCTTTATTTTTTATAAACACAGCAAGCAGTGCTATTCCTGCTGGTGGCCACCTGAAATGCAAACCTAATTCGTTTAGACACCTACAGGGAAGTGTTTTGGAATTGTTTTTCCCGTTTTACACAGACGTGTTAAAACTGAAATGCATTCACAAAAAATACATTGAGAAGAGACATTGCCGGATTCAAACTTTAAACGATGAAAGAAGTTCATTTTGTTTTCATCAGTTTTTTGCTCGTGGAATATGAACGGGAAATCGAAATCAAAATTTTACGTGCGTATAAAATTGGCCGGATGTATAACATGGATAAGAAAAGATCCCGAAGCTGTTAACTCTGTCAGTAAGAATTCACTCAGTATTGTATAAGAGTGTATGCACATAGGCTACAAAAATTCGCCTAAATAAAAGCCTTAAATAAACGGTAAACTAGACTGAAGAAAATACAGGTAGCTTTGTATCAAATTTCCTTTGTCTTCTAAAAAGAAATAAAAAATAAATGGAAAAAAATTTTTGCGACTCTTTTCTTTCCAATAATCGAATCTTTGTTCATCAGAGTTTCATTAGAATGCTTTTCTTGCATTGAAATTAAAGCTAGAGCAAGTGCTTTCTTTACATGTATCATTGAGAGGAGCAGTATTCATTTACCTGTTACAAGGCGGTGAAAATTCATCACACGTTATTGAGAGGGCGCTGATGTTGTCCAATGTCAATCGGTGTTACATAACAAGTGTGACTGACGTTTACAAAAATCTAGTTACCACCAATCTCAAAATCAAGTTTTAGAATTACCAAATAGCCTACCTTGTGATTCAGTTTTTCGATTCGTCTTGTCTATGATAACCACCCGTAAACTGTCTCTCGGCCTAAATAGCTATAACATGAAATTTCAATCTCAACGAACAAAATTAGGTCAGGAAAATGGTCTTTTCACAAGTGTATGTAAATGCTGTCACATTACATAACAAAATGAAATGTCTAAAAGACTTTTTTAATTACCTAATAGTCTAAATGTGGCAGTTAAAAGGGAAACAAAAACTGGGTGAATTTTTTTTTTCTTCTGATACCTTTTTGGGAAAAAAATTAAGTTTTCTGTTAGCTTCACCCACTTTGGTAACCGTCAAGGATACAAAAGCCAAGTACAATAAAGTTACGTTAAGAGAGTTTTTAAACAAGAAAAAAGTTTTCAGTATAAAAAAAAAAAAAACAGAGTAAGAACATCCAATACCCTAAAGGTGCAGTGATTTCAATTGCTCGCGCACACTTGATATTTCAGTCTGCACGACACTAGCTCATTTTCTGTCATTAACAGGAGGAAGAGCTTCCGAGATATTTATTAATTTCTGCTTGTTTTGGTTTGAAGCTTTACAATAAACGTAAATACTCAACGACGAAAATACTAATTTGCGAGAAACAAGTTAAAATGCTTATGTCGGCTTTAAAATTTCAAAAGAAGATTTAATAGTTTTCTTCTTAAAGGTAAGCTCTTCTACGAATATGTTGGGGAGAATCTAATTCTCTTCAGCTTCAGGCTCACGTCAGATTGCGAAAAAATTGAAACAAACGCCCTAGGCTAAATACTTAATGAAATTACATCTTAAATTTAATATGTGGCCTCGCGGTTTCAATTTATCGTAATTGTCAGAGATGAACATTAAGGTTGAGATTACCGGCTTAATGTATTCATGTACGAGTTTTTGAAAGCTAACAACTTTGACAAACGGAAACCGTCTTTCAAAATTCATCGAGTAATATTTCATCTCAGGATGTTTGCAATCAACTCACCCTTTTCGGCGTAATATTACTGTTTGGAAATGTTATCCTTTAGTGTTCTGTAGCATTAGTCTATGTAAACTATTAGTTGCGTACATTTGAAGAGAAAGTTGCATTAAAATCCTTGTTTGTTATTGTGATTTGTTCTAATTTTTTAAAACTGCTCTGACCTAACCTTTGTAGTTGTGAACCACGTCACTATTACCAATGAAGATAAAACGAAAGATGATTTCTACTTTTACGTATTGATTTCTAAACGATGAAGTCCTAAATAGAATTTCATCGAAAGCCATAAACGTAGGCCTTTCATGGGCAAGCAATATGTTTGCGCTCAACCTGTTATTCCGCGTCTTGGAGATCCTGCGCTATTTTTCTTTCAAGCCTTCAACCGTGATTTAATTTGGGCAAAGGCGGGACGTTACTGTTGGTTACAGAACATCTTAGGAAAACATTAATGAAGCTTTCGGTTCGTTGCGCTTTTTTATGCTTTTATTAGATCAAGTTTTTATACCAGCTTAAATTGAACCCTGACAGTTTTGTCAACCTCAATCGAATGAAAAGAAATTACCAAAAGGAAATTAAAGTGGTCGGAAGGGTTCTTAGGAAGTTATTGTTTTCAAATTTGACTTTTGCAGTTAGTTATAGAAATGGCGTTACAAGACTGCTATGTATTTTATTCTCGTTTTTTAACGTCATTTCTTTCTTTTATTCATTCATCTTTTTTTTGCTTCGTTGTTGTGCTCTTTATTATTTTGTAGGCATAATAAGAATGCTAAAATTCTCTGACGCAAATTATCACACAGCAAACGGTACTGAAGACAAAGTGAATGATTAGCACCTTTGTTCTGTTTGTTAACAGACCAGGGCATAACAAACTTGGGGGTCTTAGAGCTAGCTTGAGGCTTTTTTACTTACCTCAAACTTGTGACTGTTGGAAAAGCTGATCAAAACATAAGTTGTCTACAATGAAAGCAATCGGATTTAAAGGAAACCACGACTGACCTGTCACCTATGAATCTAGCGATTACGTAGCTTAAACCCTTTATAACCCCTGAAAATGACCAATATCTAATTGCTCCTTCCAACGTCTCCACCGAAACACACATGAAAGCCAGGAGAATAAAGGAAATGATCACCAACTAAAGAAACTCTTGATTGTTAAACAAATTCTCCTTGTGTGGACCAAGGAAATGTATAGAGAACAGTATGAAGAATATGCATACTGATGTTAGGTTGGAAAGGGTTAATCCATGTTCCCCTGCCAGGTATTCTCCGGTGAGCTTCATAGTCAGCGTTGAACCATAACCATTTATAATCCCTAATGTTACTTAAATGCAGTCCGGCCACAACGCGGCAGTGGAGGAAACATGCGTCAACAAATAAATTCTTGAACTTCAATTCCGTATAAAATTCACAATCAACCCGGCTGTTTTTTTTATTTAGGACGTTCTTATTGTCGTTCACCACCATCACTGTCATATCGTTTATGCATTAGTAAACTTTTTGTTAAAACCAATTAACGTTTTAGATTTATCTCTAACATTTTTTTTTCGAAGTAAGAATAGAAAGATTTCGCTGATCGCTGATTGCGATATTTTGGGCCTCAAATTTATACATTTTTTTATTGAAACAGATTAAGAGTAAGCAAAACGTCAGTCACACATTTAAGATATTTATAGGAGCAGGAAAATAAGCAGACGATAGTTCAAACCATTGTTATTTTTCCCTCTGTTCTCGGGCCTAATAATTGCTATATAAAGCTGGATATGACAGAACAGCAATTAAGAATTTACACATATGAGTTGCAGTGTACTGTTTAACCGGCAAAGCAACCATGTACTTCCTGTGACTTCGTTCTTCATTCGAAAATATTTTTCAACATCAAGTTTAAATACACATACTTTCTTGGATCTAAATATGCTTCGATATTAGAATTCTCGTAGCGGGTTATAAGTTGGAGCATTCCTCTGAATTTTCTCATGATCTTTCTTCATTCTCGTTCACTCGACTAGACTTTGGACTCTACATTTCGTATTCGAAAGTATTTCAACTCTTACTCATTCAGCTTTGACATTGCTACACTTTAATTTGCTCAGAATACTTTGCTAAATTTGCTCACCAAATCGCAATTGGATCTACAGGGGATTTACTGCATCAAGACCCAGTCAGTCCCTTTGAACATTCATAAACCTGCGTGTAGCAAAACTAACATAAGAAAGGTAGTGGAAAATACTCATGGAATGTGATTTCAGGCCTATGATTTTTCAAAATTCATTTTTGAATGATTAAAATAAGGATTACATTGAAGAAAGAATCAATTTTGGCCGGAATATTTTTGAGGCGCAGTACAAGAGCCCCCTGAGGGTGGTGCAAGAAGTTAGTTCGCCTCCTGGTGGCAGAAGCCATAAGCCGAAAAAACTGAAACGTAAATCAACTTCTTACCGTGTTTTTGCCTCAGAGAATGCTTTACAGAGTGAAGTTGACCCCGAGGAGATTTCCTCTTCAATTTACAAGCTCGTTGTGTGCTGTTAAACGAACAAAACGTACCGTGTAAGTTATTTTGAAGAACTGAACTTGACTGATAAAAACTCCGATTTGGCGATTCATAATTTTCGTTACGTTGATATAACCCACATTGCATGTGGCAACTGTTTTAGAAGCTCGATTAGAATTACAATCTTTCCTAGATCCGCCCATTTTACGTATACAAGCGTGTAGAGACCACAAATGTTTGAGCATAAATCCGAGGCTGTCCATACTTATCGTACGTCAGTGAAATATAAAAGGCTTAATAACTAATTCACACTTGGTAGTGATAAATTAAAATGCATCTTACGCTGAGACAGCTGGGTCACACGGCCAGCTAGGAAGGCGGTCGGAATGTTGTCATGGATCAATTTTTTTTTTTTTCACCACTATTGAAACTGTTTGAATGAAAAGTTATCACGAATACTTTTTTGCAGACAGAAAGAAACATTTTAATAATACTCCGCTAGATATTAGTCACCTTTCTGCGATACAATGTCAAACAAACATTAACTAAATAATTTATTTTTGCGTTTTTATGAAGAATTATCTCTTCTATCGCGCCAAAAATCTAAATTGACGAGGAGCATTGACGCTACTCCGCTATTTTTAGGTCAACTTCCTGCAATGCGCTGTCAGGAAAATGTAAATTCTGGAATCTGTTTTTGCATTTTGCTTTATTTTTTCCTCTTAGCCGTTTTCATGAAATATTTTCCTTAAGATCTGAAAAATACTTGGTTAAAAAGGAAATTCATTTTTATGTTTAAAAATATAGATTCTTTTCGACAAAGTATTCCCCGAGAAATTAAAAGTATGGTTGAGAAGAATAGCCGCTAAACAACTAAACAAACTAAAGAACATCAAGTCATCAAGAAAAGGGGAGAAAATTGCAATAGTCCTTCAACAAAACCCATACACTGTCGCCCAGGAAGAGAAGCGCAACCAACCGAGATAGATTGTTGATTTGCAACTCTTGGACATGGACACAAAGTAAAAAAACATGTTTACAGCAGCTCGAAGAAGAGTAGCTATTTTTTTAAAGCCAACATTACGAAAGAATGGTCATAAACTTGATCAACGTAATAACTGCTTTTCCAAAATGATGTCCTGAATCTAGAATTTATCATTGGGTAAGTGTATTTCGTATTGCGAGGAAGATCATTGTTCAATCAATCAAAGTTTGTTTTACTTGGGATGAGGCAGTCTCATTGAGAAAAACTTAGAACTTTTCAAATATATTCTTATATACTATTTCTTATATACTACTTCTTATATACTATTTCCTATAAACTTAGAACTTTTCAATATATTCGGAAGACCAAAGTGCGATATTCGACGATAATCGTTTGCATTAGTTTTGCACAATAATGTATGTTTTAGTAACAAAGTTGAGTTTGTTACTGTTTGCGTCAAAATGTTGCTACAAATTACGTAGAGCGATAATTATTACAAGATGTTGCAATTATCTATATTACAGGATGCGTAGGTTTTTACAAAATCCCACAACCGTCATTATAAAATGAGTCGTTACTAAAAATTGCCGTTGAAAAAGGGTGCTTATTTGGAAGAAAGTAGTGCAAATACATACATACAGTGCAGTTCAACTGTATTGATATTGATCACATCCATCGGCTCCGTCAGTATGGAGAAATGCCTTGTTCCGGTTCATCTCATCGGTACAAAAAAATAAGTCAGTAGTGTTTAAAGACTACGAAGAGTTGTAACTCACAAGCAGTCTTCTTGTCTGCCACGACAACTGCACAATCGCGATCAAACGCGCTTTTCAAAAGCGCTTTTCCAAACGCGCTTTTCCTCTTTAAGGAATTTGAAATGACAATTGGATAAAAATAGAACTAGAATTCTGTTAGAAAGAGACAATTCCACTCTACAGCGTGTAGGTATTTTGACTTCAGTGCAACCGAACCGAGTGATTTGATCAAAAGTAAATTTTCATCGCTGATGTCTTCACACCCATGATTGCTGATAACATCGCTGAAACTACTGTGCTTTCCTAAAAAAAATTCATGAAATATTAATAAGCTCCAATTCTGACCAGATGATGAGTTTCTTCGAAGAACGCACTGAACTAAATGAAGAGGAAATTCAAGCTACTGATCTGTACCTGGTTACTCAGAGTTCTGAAAAATTAGGGCGTCTTCGACAACTCTCCGAGTCGTCACGGCATCTTGAAATGAATTTCCGTCACAAACCACTCATTAATGGTTATGTTATTTACTACGACCACTACATGTGTTTGTAATAATAATGTTTTAAGAAAAGTAAAGTCCTTTAAAAAAAGCCGCTCCATCGGACAGTGACAAGGTTGCCATTTGCTAAACTAAAAAGCAATAAAGCTCTTGCCGGGTAGTGTCTATGTGTGACAGTTATGGCCGCAAACTTGACACTTTTATTAAAAAGCACACCACATCCTGACACACGATACATCGCAAGATTTGAAAATGTAAACGCGGGGAAAATACGCTTTTAAGAGTAAGTATGTTAACGCGTGTCAATATAATAACAGCAAGATTATCTTTAATGAAAAACTGTCATCTTTACATTTTCATCTGGTCGTGTTGAAAGAAGTGAAAGTGATGATAAGTTTTTCCGACTAAACGGAATAATATGACACTATGGTGCGACTTACATCCACGAGCATAAATTTTGATTGATCATTCGATTCACTTCCCTTGGACAGAGAAAAAGACACATATGATCAACTTATCTAGATAATGACACGAAGGTATAAATTGACCTTTCACTGCGCCCCGTTCATTAAAACGGATTTTAATCTTTGCTAGACGAAAAACAAAGATACTGCCGCCAGCGCGCATGTTTAAGAGCGTAAACATTTAGCCACCTATACTATATTAACTAAGAGGATGCCATCCTAAAGCGCAAACTTTAGACAAAAGAACCTTGGTTTTAGTCAGTAGATGCTTGATTTTAATAATGCTTGATTTTCATAATGATCAGAATCTCTTCATCAACTGTTTCAACTAAGTTCTCTAAGTAATGCCTTTGAAGACATTTTAAAGAGTGGAAGTTGAAGGGGAAGGTAAACTAAAACACGCGGGGGCTTCTGAATTTATTAGCAGCGTCAGGTGGGGGGAGGGGGGGGGGAAATCTCTGTAGCAATCCGTGATCACGCATCGTGACGCGGTAGAGGCGAATTGTAGCAAATGAGAGAATAAGAAAGTGTTCATTTGAACTAGATAAATTCATAGATTGAAATTTCAAATTTACGTCGAATTATTGTGATTGCAAGCCATAATATCTGTATTCGTTTTTTATTCTTGTCCAAGGCTTCTCCTAGGAGTAGACGGTACCGAATCGTCACGATGTCTCAGCCATTTGTATCTTAATTAAAAATTTTAGTCAAAATAGTTTGATATAAATTATCATTTGCAATCTGATCTTCTCCACGTTTGGTCGTTTGGTGGTGGACGTTGAAAACAACCTACGTGTAATTTATTGTGTTTGAAGTTCAAGTTTGATGTTCTGCTCCGCAGGTCAGAATATCAGGTGAATCTGATCGGAACTCCTTTAATAATCATCCGGTTCCTTTGATGTCATTGTACATTAACGATTATCGATGATGCTGTTGTAACAGCCATCAGTGATGGGGGAAAGGAAATGGCGTGGGGCGGATGAAATAGCTTGCGAACAAGATTTAACCTTGGAAATTAAAAGTACTACACCTATAAGAGGGAAGGGTTTTAAAAATTAGGAAGTAGATAAGTGTATTATATACAGCGTGTTAATCACGAGCGTTAATTTGGTCGGATAAAACGTGTTGTGATTGGATATTAGTTGGGAACTCACGTAATGTAAATAACTGGAGAGGGACAAGAAAGACTGGGGCCGTGTGGAAATTATGTTTGTTCGCGTGCGATATTGCTATTTCGGCCTCTGGCAATCTTAAGTGACTTGAATCGAATCCTTTTATGATGAGGTTGCGGCCATAACCGCAATCAAAGTAATTATGGTCACGTCGGCGCACTTTGTGAGTTCACGTGAAAGGCCTTTGTACTGAGCAATGTGATAGTGAGTGATGAAAAAAATTGAACGGAACACGTCGTTTGGAAGCTTCCCAATTCTCTTAATTTGCTTTAAATTGAAATCCTTCAGACGAAACTATGCTAAAGATAGTATTTTTTAAAATTTATTATTATCAGTATTTTTTTTATGAACACTACTATCGCGGGATTCGGTCTTTGACGGAATCAAACGTGTTTTTACCAACACCGCTGAAAAAGGAACTTCTGGCGATGAAAAATATTTGTACTGCGGCCTGTTGACATTGAATAAACAATGTCACTTTGTTCGGCGTGCATTTTAAAATGATTAGCCAGGCGAGAATTAACGGCAAAATTTGGAACTCTTTGAGACTCCTCTACTGATTTAAGAGTATAGTCAGGATATACGAAAAACGAAAAAAAAAGAGGAAGAAACTCGTTAGAATTTGATCCAGAGAACACGGGCTGAATTGCCGATTACCGAGATCAGCCAGCTCCAGCACAGTTCTGTTCACTCATACAGTATCTGGTTGCTACAGAATGACAGGGGTTACTGTTTTAAAAAAATCAAACTAAAGTAACGAATTAAGAAACACTTACAAAACTCACCGTTTAAAAACTTCCTTTTTCCTTCTTAGAGTTTCTCTTTTCCCTGAGCTTAATGACGTAACAACTACGTCCAACTGAACGCAGACCAATTTGTTAGGAGTACAAGTTCTCTAATTTATAGTAAGAGGCAAGCCGTGTAAAGCTGCAACGCCAGCGGTTACCCTCAACGTCAAAGAGCAGGTACAAAATGAAGAATTATTGCAGCATTTAGATCTACATCCGATCAAAAGTCTTATCTGTTTTCGTGCAACTTAACACTAGATAACAAAGCTCTCTTAATCCGGGTCAATTTTTTTTTTTCGTGTGTGAAATGTAAAATAGTCATGTGTATCAGTATCCGTCAAGATATATATGACAGGCACGTACCGACTCGTCCGAAATAGATCTGGTAAATACGTGTTTTTCTTTGATCACAGGCACTGATTTGGGCTCAGTGTTTTATCAAATCAGGCCGATAAACAAGCACCGTCGGTAAAATGCCTTAAATGAGCTGCGTTAAAATTAGTGGTCAACTAAAAAGCTTTTTAGTTCATGTGTGGCTCTCCTAGAGCTGATATAGACGACAAGAAAGACAGGAGATCTAGACCTTTTCCTTCCTGACATCTCTATACACTTGACTTAAACGGCAGCCAGTTCAAAGGTACTGGTCAATATTTATCTCCTGGGGGTGGGTGTCGAAGGATTTTAGTTGTGTAATAATAAATTAACCTGATACCCTCATAAGGCTCTGTAGCATTCTAGCGCCCCCCCCCCCCTCCTCACTAGCAGTCAATTTTTTACGGTGCCCCCCTTCAAACTTTAATAGCGAAGACTGATCTCCTTCCGTTCTCACTGAAATCATGCGATCCACTCAAATCCTCCGAATTCCCCCCCCCCCTCCCTCGTAGGTGATAAAGAATGACGGTTCCGCAACAGACAATTATTGGTATTCTGCCTCATGATATATTTGATCGCCATCTTTATAACTCTCCAGTGTTCGCTTAGGCGAAATGACGGTTAGCTCCACGCATTTGTCAGTTTATCAAGCTTGTTATTCATTTACCATCTTTTAATACAACCCAAAGCCCTTCAGCAACATTGTTATCTGCCTGCTAACAGATGTTTGAGAAAAATAAAAAAATATTCGAGTTCAAATTCCATGGGAAAAAGATATCATCTGCAGACCCCAGAAATTTTCGGTAGGGTGTTGTCGAGTCAGTGCCTTTCTTTTGTTTTGTTTTGTTTTTGTTTTGTTTTTAACTAGCTAAGTAGTTCAAAACTGAAATTATCCTAAAACCTACTGCCTTTATCTTCTACTCAATCTCATTCCCGCAAGCTTTTCCCTGTTTTTAGCTTCATTTACACTTGAAGAGCCATTTTCTCGGTATTTTCTGCCAGAACCATTAGAAAATAGAGATTATTGCATGGAAAGTGCGCACATGTAAACGAAGCTGAACGGTTTCTATTCACGAGTCGTGATAAGTGTGATACATCAAACAACGAACGAGTGAGCGCCGCGAACGAGTGAGATTTTTTGATGCATCACCACAAGGGAATAAATATACCTTATTATTAAAAACTAGATCTGTGAAGGTGTAGTCTGATCGTCCGGGTGAGTGTAGTCCTGAGAAGGACTGTTGTCGGTGGCAGTGAATGACGTTTCGACAACCTGTGCGGAAGTCATCATCAGAGTCAAGTGAATGATTGTTGTCAGTAGAATGTTCTTATTCCAGTTCGTGTGAAATGATCGGTTGGTTTTGCCGTGATGTTATTGGCTGTAAGACTCAAGTGACGTAAGTCGGTCCGACAACAGTCCTTCTCAGGACTACACTCACCCGGACGATGAGACTACACCTTCACATGTTACCCCCGGGTTCAAACCATTTACTGCATAAATCAGAACTGTCCAGTGGATCCACGGGTAGAACAGGTGAAGAAGGGAAGTCTAGTGAGAGGACCCATATGACGACCATGACGATAAAACTCACTGTCCCTACTGAATTTGTGGCCCTGCAGACAGTCCCCGTGTATCTGACCAATGGAAGAAAGCGAGTACAAGTAAATGCCCTCCTGGATGAAGGTAGTAGTAAGGCTTATTTAAACAGTGATGTGGCTGCAGAACTTGGACTGGAGGGGAGACCACATCAACTGACTGTGAAGGTGTTAAATGACAACCAAGAGAAGCTAAACTCTTCCATAGTCGAGTTCACTATCCATAGTTTGGATGGCA